TTGCATTCATTGCCTCTTTTTCTTTATTTCGCCATTTTGTCTAAATATTTAGTCTGTTTTCAAGATGATTCATTCACTATGTTTGTTTTTTTCAATATCACTTATTATTTTCAATTTATTTTCCTTCTCCCTGTTATTTAACCTCACTTTTAATCGATTCCCTTTCTCTTCTTTTCATTCATTATTTTCTTCACTATTTTTACACTAGTTTTGCCTCTTTTCTTTATTCCAATTATTTAACCTGTTTCAAGATAATTTCTTCTATCTTTCACTATTTCTTTTTCAATATTATACCACTTTGCCTCCTTCTAGTCTATTAAATGTTTTTCTCTTCGTTTTGTCTTTTTTCTCTTTTTTCTTTTTTCATTTCTTACAGTCCGGTTACATACCTCTTTCTATCTTCTCTCTTTCTCTCTCTTACTCTCGTCCCTCCACTTTGTCCATTTACTCATCTTTCACCCTTCTTTCGGATAGAGCAGATAAAACGGATAGATCGCGCATGCGCCGAAAGAAGCAAAACGGTTCCGTGGCCCGCCGCGCGTATGATTTATTCCGGCGCGAACCACCCACCAGAAATATCTGATACCCCTAATGAATTTCTGGGCTGGTGTGCGTACGTGTGTAAGGATGGTAGGGGTTTGAAAGAAATATGGGGTGAACCGACGACACCAAGTACAACGCGCGTCCTGACCGAAATATCCACAAGCCAAATGTTAATCGAACGATACTTGTCGCCAAATATTCTTTCATGCTAATATAATCGGGATCTTAGGAGTTTGAGATAACATTTTAAAATAATTTCATCAAATTTTTTTTTTTTCTCTTCATCGCATGGATATCACAAGCGAAATTGACATAGTAAATTGGATCTTTGGTATTTTTGAAATAATTTTATTAGAGTTTTTGTTATTAATTTTTTTATAATATTAAGTGATATAAGTATAGGTATTTGATATTACTTGGTGTTTTTCAAAATAATATTTTGAAATAATTTTGTCAGAGTTTGTGGCATATATGATATAAATAAATAAATAAATTTTGAATATCATATTTTTATTTTAAATATTATATCATTTTCTTAAAGTTTGTGATTATATTTTTTTCATTGTATATTAAGTGCATCTAAATATAAATTTTGAATATATTTGATATGAAAATAATATTGAAAATAATATTTTCAAATAATTTTTCAAAGTTTATGGCATATATGATACAATTTTTTCTTCTTTATTGTGTACATATTAAGTGAAGTTAATATAAATAGATCTTTGACATGAAAATTATTGAAAATTTTTAAAATAATTTTCAGAGCTTGTGATAAATATTGTAATTTTTTGTCTTTCATTGTGTGCATATTAAATAATTGGTATAAATACATCTTAGACGTGTTTAACGTTACATTACTCAAAATAATAATTTTCAAATAAATTTGTCAAAATTGTTATCATATCATTTTTTTTTTCATTGTGTATTATAAATGTAACTATATACATTTTGACGAGATACATTAGACATTATTTAAAATAATATCAAAATTTGATATAATTCTCTTTTTTGCCAAATGACAAAGATAATTGTATGTAAAAAATCATTGGGTTAAATAAAATCGATTCTACGTTCTTCTTTTTGTAAATTTTATTCTTGTCATTTTTAAAACTGAAAAATTCCAACGAATTTTTATTTTTCTAAATACATTTTCTAGATATTTTTTTAAATATATAGAAAATATATAAAAAATAATAATTGTCACACAGTTCCTTTCTTCTTGTATCAAATACAATCTAATAAATAATGAAAAATTTGAAGAAATTAAATCTAATAAAAAAAAAATTTAACGAAAAAAAAACAATAAAAACAAGATAAAAGATGAGAAAAGAAAAAAAAAGATTAAAGTGACTGAGACCGCGATTCAAAGATTCAGCCGGCTATGAGATGAATGGCACGTGGCCCGCATGAGATCGAGAACGAAGAATATTCAGCGCGGAATTCGCGAGAAATTAGGCGTGAAATACGCCATGCGCTTCGAATATTTCTGCCACCGACAGATTTCGACTTTACTGTCAGACACGGCCTTAGACGATCCATCGATCCCCCTTTGTATTCGCCATGAATTCGTCGCGGATTTCTTCTGCATCGTAACTCTTTCTCACACATCTCTTTAATCTTGGACAGATAGATAAATGCAGCTTATATCCTATTTACAATATTCAGATTTTTGAATTAGTGAAAGATGTTACAATTTTTTAAAAAATATGCATATAAAATAAAATGAGATGTATTCGATAAAATGATCAAAAAACTGTATTGACGAATGAAAGTTACTTTTGAAAATTATTTTTTATTAATAGAATACATTCCGTTAAGAGTGAAAGTGATTGTCTGCAATTGCTCGTATAACTTACGAAAAGCATTCGTTAGTTGAATTCGAGACATCGTGAAGGAAGGACTGTATCTCGTGTAATTTTTTTCTTTATTATGGATTTTAATATATTTTCATTATTAATTTATAAATTTATAAAAAAGAATCTAAAATCAAAGACAATAATTAAAATAATTATTAATTGAGTAAAAAATTCATAAATAAATAAAGTTGAAATTTTTAAATTTATACATAACCTCAAAGAATACAAATTCGCTCAACAATCAAACGAATCGAAACCAAGTAACAAAAGGTGAAACTTCAATTTAAAGATCTTGCGAAGATCTCTTTAAATAACATGTGAAGGTTAAAGGCAAATGTCAATCTCAATAAATTCGAGACGGATCTGTTCAAGATATATGCGGTTCGAGATCGTGTCCTTAGTTTCGCCATTACTATATCCCGTGCAACACGCGCGCTTTGTATTCCGTCAGCAGAACCAATCTCCATAACGGAAACGTGTTACTGGACTTCCCAGCCAACATCCAAGATCGCTTCGTGTCCACGTTTACACGCCTTTCTGCTTTTCATGCGAGGAATTTACACGTCAAAATAAATTTTGTCAAAATAAATTTTCCTATGAAACGGAAATTATAGTGAGAACAAGATATGAAATAAAAATAAATTAATTTTTCATTAATAAAAATAAAAATTGAAAACTAAAATAATAGGTTAATTATAAAATCAATTTTTAAACTTTTGCATCATAATTGATTTTCATAATATATATTTGTGTTTCAAAAATACATTGTTTTTCGAATAATCTTTAAAAAATAAATTTAAAATTTTTCTCAAATGTTCTTCAAATTTTTTTAATTGATCGACAAATAACAATTAACCTATTATTCGTCAAATAATAAATAGCATTATTTGAAACGTATAAGAATAGATAAATCCATGTGCAGGAAGCCATGATAGTTGAAAAAGATTTAAATAATCATATATATCGGACGTAGCAATAAATCGCTGCATGTCCATTCGTGCCCAGCATCGCCACCCTAACTACTAGCATCTATAGCAATAGGGTGGACCAGTGATATATGTCTTCCCTATAACAGCCAGAATCAAAACATCGTCCTCCCTAGCTACACCGATGTTTGTCCTTTGGCCACCAACTTCTGAAGCGGACAGTTGGTATCGGTGAAATTGCTGTATTAATTAACAGTAAATTGCTAGTTATAAGAGAAATCGAATCTAGCAATTCTGATTACGATTAATATTATTCTTTGTAATGTACGTCGAATGAAATCTAAAAAATGAAAATTCGCGAATACTTGTCATTACTATATTTTTAAATATAGTAATTAAATCTTTTATTTTTCATAAATAACTATTAATTAATTAATTATTAAATAAACACTCTATATATAGCTCAAAAAAAAAAATATATTTTCGAAAAATATATTCGAATTTTAAGATTATACTAGAATTTATTTCAAGTTTTCAGTAAATATTTCATTTTTTATATGAAAATTATTACTAAAATCATATACCAATAAATTCTAATTGATAATAAAAAAAAATAACTACGATCCTCATCAAAATTATCTTACGCATCGTTTTATTAATTTTCGAAAGATCGAATCGTCCATTCTCGTGAATACCGATACTTTGATCAAACAAATCTAAATTTTCGTCTTATCTTTTATTCTCTTCTTTCTGATAACGTTGAAAATATAATGCTCCAATGTTACGTCGGATAGGCAGCGTACACTGCAGCAGATACTTGAGAAAGTATTAAACGGTGTACTATCCTCGATGCACTTACGAAGCCACCACCATTACCGTAGCTCGACGTGCTGTATCTGGCTAGGAACGAAGTCCTGGCACGGAAGAGATTACGGAACACCGGTGGACGCTGCCCACTTGACCGGGTATTACAGATGTAATATCGTAAACAACGCCCCTCTGAACCGTGGCCACGTTTATATCTGCACAAGTCACGGCAGATCTCCCCTGTTGGCCAAACCAGGAACCACCTTGCCTCCTATCCCTTCTCTATCTCCGCGTACAACCCTTTGCAAACCGCTGCTGCCCGCTGTTTACCGTTGAATATTCATTCTTTGCTCTGATACAGCCGTGAACACCAAATGTCTACACATTAACCAGTGTGTGTAGCTAGGCTGACCGCTTAGCCGACACCCTTGTGTCGCTTTTATTCGAAAGGACGTGGTTCGCACATACAATTTGCTTGTTTCATACTTAGATCGGGATGTAAAGAGATTAATGTTCAAAACGTTATCGAGGTTATATGTATATGAAAGAAATTTTCTTCGTTATTAATCCATTTTTGAAAAGAACAAAAATAGAATTAATTTTTTCGATAATAAATAAATAAAATTTTAAACAAAAATATAATTTTTATTTTTATATGTAATATTTTATTAAAAAATAATTATAGAATGTATCATATAATTACATCATAAGAAACTCTTAATGATGAATATCGAAACATTTTCTTATCGAAAAAATATAATGAATATTAATATTTTGATAACGAATAATGGATAACAGTCTAATTCTAATAGAAATAAATCCATTTCTCGAAAGATTAAAAGCAAATATATTATTGGTTCGAAAAAATTACGTTTGACCAATCATCGCATGAGCACGCACACATAAGAAGCGATTGCTTTCGTAAACTCGCTATTTGTCAATGCAACGTTTAAGCACGGAACGATTCGAACTTTCTCTTCAATCGAAGTCTTGAAACGGTTATCATCGAAATGGACAATAACGAAGGGAGAAATCTGGGATACCGTTTATGCAGGATTCTTTCCAAGTCTTTTTTATTCAGTCCGCCATAAATACGGAAACACACGATTGTACTATCGGCGGGAACAATAAAAGTAGACCTCCCGTATAGGTTAAGTTTGGCCCGCTTACTATCGGGCCGCAAGTTACGATTAAAAGAGCGCGGCGCAGATCCGCCCAGGCCGTGTTTCGAATTCTCGGTTTCGAAGAATACGACAGGGGTGACAGAGGGGTCAGAAGGCCAACTCTTCTCGAGAACTAAACGTCGGAAGCTCAATTCTCCGAATCCCAACTCGGAAGACTTTCGCGGATTTATGCTTATCGTAAACATCATTGCAGACGAATCTCGTAGCAACTCGATTCAATGGATGAGAGATCCGTATGCTGATAACTCGAAACAAACAACGATACCACGCGAAGACATAAATACGAATCGAAGTAAATATGAGAACGAACGAGAGTGATTTGACTGCATGCGAGGTTAGGAAAAACTTTTACAAATATAAATAGTTCTATTTAAAAATAAAATTTAAAATTTGATGTTTTTTGTATAGAAAGATTTTCAAATTCAATTAAACATAATCATTATCTCTGATTTTATTCGAGTTTAAACGAAACTGATTAATTCTTATATTGGTTTATTTAGGTATTTTTTTATTTAAAATAAAATTTATATTTTTCTTAGAAGATCTTTTAATTGAATCATTGTTATCTATAAATAATTTGCAAAATTATCAAAATTGAAAATTAAATAATACCAGAATAACATTGTAAATATTTTAATGATAACTAATTTTAATGACAAAAGTTATAAAGAAAAGAAAAAGAAAGAAATAAATCACTCTATATTCAGAAAATTTGGAACAAAGGATTATCGTAAAATTAAAGGACTTCTTACGAATCATCATATAATTAAAACTTATATAGATTATAATCCAGGTTATAAGATCCAGGTTCAAGATTATTGCAAAGTAAAACTATGATCTGTTCTTTGAAAATCCTAATTCTTCAGTCTTTAAATAAAATTCTTTACTTATTAAACATCTTTGATAAGTTATAAGCAATTGAAATTTACCTTAAACTAAATTGAAACGAAATAAAAAGAGAGTGAGTAGTTCTGTCTCGTTTCATCTAACGTGAACATAAATTATTCATAACTAATATTTTTGTATATCAATTTTTGTGTTTATTTTGACTTTTAAAAATTTTTTAAAAATATTTAAAGATTTTTTAAAAATATTCCATGAATATATTAATAATAATAATAATATACATATTAATACATAATAATAGTGTACAATAATATTATTATGAAATTTTTACAGACTTAAACGAAATCGAAGTGCTTCTCATGATATACACGAGGAAGTAGCAATAAAGTTAACCATGTGGGAGGGTTTGAAGGGTGAATTGTTTAAAACTACCCTGTCGCGTGTGAGCCCTTGTTGTCGAGAATGAAAAGAGGTTATAGATATGAAGAGTTCTGGGGGATTTGTAGCCATCTCTACGGCATCTGTATTATAAGACCGATTGGAAGGGAGCGATGTATTTCGCGGAACATTGAGCCCCATGGATTTTAAAATATATCCGAAATCGAATCTCTCTCTGTGTAAGTGTTTGTAATTTAAAAATTTGAATTTTTCCCTCAATTTGTCGAGCTTCGATTAATCTTTTAAAATGATTAAAAAAAAAAAAACAATTTAAATGATTTAATGTAAAGAAAAAAATTTTATAAAATAAATCATATCGTGAAAGATTAATTAAATTGAAAAAGTTGAAAATAATTTATAGATTAAATATCGTTCAAATGAAAAAAATATTTAAAACAATTAATTATTTTGATTTTAATCCTTTCTTTATCATACGTTACACATAATATAATGTATATTTTGTTTAAGATAAATGCTTATCTTATTTATTTTCATTAGAGATACTTCTTCAGATTATTAGATAACGACAAATTATCACTAATCTTACATTGCAACAAAATTAGATTAAATTATAATTTACGTAGGTTAGATGCAATTATTTTTGATTATATTAAAAATTTCTTATATACCTGTGGTTATACGATGAATTTCCCTAGAACGATCAAGTTTTTCGTCAAATGTCTGTCGTTAAAGAATGATTCTTTCGAACAAAATTTAAAGAGGAATGTTTTTGATTCGGTGTATCAATTAAGATAGGAATTCTTATCTGTCGGTATGTGCGATCAGCACAACGAGAATGCGTAAAAGAAGGGAAGCACATAGAGGGATGGTACATAGAACGCACATAGGGGTTTGCACGCTGGAAGAAGTTTATGGGGGCTCCAAGTATATTTCCTGATTGAGCGGACTAATCCACGCAAAGGAGGTTTTATCGTCGAGGTATACGTAATCGAAGGGTCTTATATCTACACGAATGTCACGTGGAGAAGTATAATATCAGAATGTCATTCTAACCTTAAAAAGTTTTTTTGATATATATATAATATAATTTTATAATTTTCTTTTTATTAGATCTTCTTTCAATTTATGTTATAATATTTCAAATTTATAATTAAAAAAAAATCCAATAAAAAGAAAAGGAAAAAAGTGATTCCAAAATTTTTAAAATTGGTAGTATGTAAAATTCAATTTTCTTTTTTTTTTTTTTTTTTTTTGTTTAAAGGTAGAATAAAATTAATACATATTTATATTATAAATTTTTGTATTATTTACAGGAAAGAGAGATACAATTATCAACGATCCCGATTGTAAACTTTCGTCAAAGGCAACGAGGTTCCACACTCTCGACTTATGGCCGGTTAAAGTCAATTCGATAGCAGTTAACGAATTGTTGGGGGTGAATAGAAGGGGTTTGCGGTTAACGCGAGGGGTTGACAGGGGAACGCATAATACATTGTTACCCCATCCACCGGATTCAACTTCCCCTTCCACATGCAGTAATTTTCTCCGCGCGAAACTCGACATCGGAGTGAACTATCTCATAATTAAAATTACCGTACTATACGTACGCATCGAGAGATTTCAACACCCTAATACGTGTTGAATTTACATTATATTCGTCGCGGCTGTTATTTGTCGCTTAATTATCATTAATTATTATCGCCTGTCATGAACATTCATTTTTTTATTTCGAAAGATTAATTTTAATTTATTTTTTTTTTCAATTTATTTGTTTAATGATAAAATATTAGATTAAGTTAAAAAATTTATTGAAAAAGGGATTAAAAATTCTTCTTTTAAAATGATATTATTTATGGAATGATAACAATAAAATAAATATAATACTTTAATTTTTATATATTTTTTTACAATTCTTGATGAATGCAATACACTACAGATTGTTTATTACAAATAAAATTTTGATTAATAAGCATTTATAATATAGTTTAAAAATATATGATAATTAGTAATAATTAATCATAATATAAAAAGCGTATATGAGTCACATTTCATTTTATGAAAATAAAAATTAAAGAATATTTTTTTTTGCATGATAATTGTTTAAAACAAAAATTGTATATAAAATTCTTATTTAAATAATAATAAATTAATAATTAATCTAATTTAGCCTAAAAATAGCACTGTCTTCAAGTTATAGTATCTTTTATAATGAGATTTATATTGAAATATTATCTCAAGTATCGAGCAATTTCCGAAATTTGATATATAAGTGTTGCTTTTAAAATTGCTGTTTGTTAAATTTTCCCATTTCATGCGCGAAAGTGTTTAAGTGAGAAGAAAATGAGGGTGGTGGCAAATATCAGCTTTCTTCCCTTCAACTTTTGCCCGTCGATTTAAAACATTTGCCCTCCGCGAAACGAAAGTTCTTCGTGTCGTTCGAGATGGGGTGCCACGAAATCACCCTAATATTGGATTATATCGATATACGGGACGCATATATCATACAATGGGATCGGAACACATAGGTTACTAAATTTCCAATTTCTTCACGGAGATGAAGATGTTACAGAATTTCTCGTGATCAGCAAATCACAAATTTTAATTTCAATTTATTTTAATTCACGTTCAAATGTTTAAATTGGATATTCACTCAATATAATATGTATTTAGCGAATATTAAATATTATACTTGAAGGTTAGATTAGGTTAAATTAAATTAGATTAAATTAAATAGTTTAAATAGTTTAAATGTGTTTTAGAAGTATTATTTGAGGAAAATAAATTTTGAAAATTTGTCAAATTTATTATTTCATTATTAGATCGTAAAAATTTCATCCTTTGCATTATACAATACAATTTTAATTATTCGAATACAAGATGAATGATGAATATATGAGTTTAATTATATGTATTTAATTTCACGTATTCGTTAATGTTTATATTCATTAATATTTTAAAACATATTATAATATGGACTAAAAACGATTTTATAAATTTATTTTATAAAAAATATATTCTCTTATATAATAAACATTCATTTTTAAAAATTATTTAAATTTTAATTATTTCATTATATAGTGAAAAAGTCCTAATTGATTCCTAATTGATTATTCGAATGGATTTTTTTTGCAATTAATTCCTATAATCAATATTCTATTATAACTATTTTATTTTTTCATCAATAATAAAGAAAATAGAGTTATCATGCTAAAAATTACAATACAAAGGATTTATCATTTAATGTAATATAAATCTCATTCAAACAAAAATTTCTTCGATATCAATCTTGATCAGTATAATAGAATATCGATTAATTCCGATAATAGAAAAAAATAAAATTATCGCACAAAAAATTATAATACAAAGGATTAAAGGATTGTTTCGTTTTATTATAATTGAAATAAAAAATAATATATAATATGAAAATAATCATCAGAATGAATTTATCACTTAACTTAATACACATTTTATTTGAAAACTTTTTCGATATCAATTTCACTTAACGAAAAAAAAAAAATAATAAAATCCTCTTTGAAAAGAGGGTGACAAGTAGCGACCTCGACAAGGTCGATGCATTTAGGAACTCTTTAATCGAACGATTCGGTAGTCAGGGTAATGACGTGTGCTCGAGCACACGGCTCCACAGTGTTTAGCACTTTATCTATCTCCTCCTTGTTATTAATGACACTCGCTGAGTCAGATGCCGCGGCGAAGTGCGGCATCTTCAGAGTTTAATATCCGAAGAATCGAGTCACTCGGCCGACTACTTGGGCCGCGGTTGGCCTCGAGTAGAGTAGTGCACTCGTGATTCGAGACCGGTGGGCCGGGACATTTCGCTTCCAATATCCTTCACCCTGGCCGAATAGAGAAAAAGAGAGAGAGAGAGAAGCCTATTCGAGTGTCGCCTATTCGCGGCAAACGAGCACGCTTTCATTTCGCACAAGCACCGTGGACGAGTGGTTCAAATATAAAAAGAAGAATTCTATCGCGACACTAACCAACGGACAAAAATTGAGAATCTTGCCGCGAGAGGGAAGCAGAGATCCATCTTTCATTACATTTCTCAATTATTACGCGCGATGTATTTGAACAAAAAATTGGCATAATATAAACCGGATGCAGATAAAAACAATTATATGATCTAAAATAGATTTTGAACAATGTTTAATTTTGATGTGAATCGAGGATTGTTCTAAATTTGCAAAATAATTGAAATAAAAATAAAACAATCATTGTGAAAATACAATACAATATTATAGTTATATAATATATATAATAAATAGTAATTATTGTTTGATTTTGACTAAATTCTTTTTTAATAATTTCGATTTTTATCAATAAATAAAATTTATAATATTATTTATCCAAAATTGAAAAATCTAATAATAATTTTTTTTTCATATTCACGTTTATTTCTATGAACTGTCATGTGTTAATATTAATATTAAAAAAATATGAAATATTAATAATTAATCACTATAAATAATAAAAAATTATTTACAAGTACATAGTAAAAAATGCATATTTTACATGTAAACTTATCACAAAATAATCAGTAGAATGTATGATGAATTTTTTATTAGACATAGCATGCTTCCTATCATATATTATTAAATAACGCATTGCATTTCATTCGATAGGTAGTCGTATTAATACTACATGCTTAAAATCATTCTTATTATTATTTAGTAGAGGTAAGATAAATTTTATGTGAATACGTGTAATGATTATCAACTATAATTTATTTAATTAAAAGGTAAGTGATCTTTTATACAAAATATATATTGTGTAATATTTTGTTTAAAATTGTAAGAAATTTGATTTGACATTTTATATATTCGCTATTCCCTTTTCAATAATAATTTAAATAATTTAATAATTTAAAATTAAAAATAAAAAACACAGATTTGAAAGAAGAGAAAGAATTTTTTACGTTGTAAATTGTTAAATAAAATTGAAATTCATGAAAAATATGAAACGCATGCGAAAACAAAGTTATTGCAATATTTTGCAAAAGATAGTACGAAATTGTTTGAAAATCATTATGAAACAAATCTCAGAGTTTTGTCAGAAAACAGGACTTCATGGATGCAAATACATTTGCGAACCTCAACGTTCAATAATAGAAAGGTAACAAATATAAATTTTATAAATTGTTTATTTTTTTCATTGAGCATTAATCGAATTAAAATTCATTTGATACACTGATTAAACGAATTATCGTTATTATATAGATTATAAATAGATATTATTATTAAAGAAGATTTATTTTTATCTGATTATAATTAAATTTGCGATATAATTGAGAAATATTCATTAAATATTTCTGATAGAGCCGTATGGGCAATAATGGTGTTTTCATCCCTATGCATCGCGATTTGGATGATGAAAATTACTTACGAATATTTTATGAAAAATCATATTCTCACAGTGATTGAAACGACACATCATGGAATATGGAATTATCCATTTCCAGCGGTCACGATATGCGATTTCAATCGCGTATCTCTCAAATTGACGAAAAAATTAGTCGACAATTTGTAAGTTTTTTAATACACGTTTCATTTCATTTTAATTTTTTATTTTAATATCCGATTACTTTTTTTATTTAAAATAGAATTATAATTTTTCATTTTTTTCATTTAAAAATCATTCAAATCTGGAGTTGAAATTGTTATTTTATACTTTTCAAAAAATTCAATAGAGATTAAATATATATTTGATTAAAAATTATTATTAATTAAATAAAAATTAATGAATTATTTGTACAAATTATTATTTACTTGGATTTTGAATTATAAAAAAGAAATATTTAAAATTTGAGAATTCGATTATTATTTATCGTTATTTTATATTATTTTATTGAATACTGATTTATTTTATACATTTATAATGATATCTTTTATAGTAGATATTTTAATAAGATATTTTTATTTTTGTTGTAGGAAACTTCCACCAGCTGTGTCAAAGGAATTTGTTGTTGAAGAAATGAGATTATTGGACGAATTGTTATATCCTGGTATACACGGATTATATATTCGAAATAATCTCTCACGATTACAAAATATTTTTGAGATGAATAATCTTACAATACCAATCATCATGAATTCTGTATGTAACAAATTTTTTAAGAATCAAATGAAGTTCAAATGAAGAAACTTTGAATATATTTAAAAAAAAGAAATCGATTAAAGATATTATATACTAATCATTTTATAGATTTTTAAGAAAAATTTTAAATTCAAAATATTAAAATTTTCATACAATTATTTTTATGTTTTTTAAATTATAAGTATAAAAATAATTGTTGTCAAATATCATTTATTTATTATTATTTATGTTTCATCATTGTTATAATACAATTATATTAGTTATAACACAAATGTAGATTGAATTTAAATTTCAGGTTACGCGAAGTTGTGAAAGTTTATTAGAATTATGTAAATGGAAAACAAAAAAAGAAGATTGCAATAATATATTTCAAACGAGTATCAGTCGTAACGGTATATGTTGTAGTTTTAATTATATCACTCATGATTTAATTATGAAACAGCCAAGGTATAAAGTTATGTATATATTTTTTCAATTGTATATCATTTTATATATTGTTGATTATTAAAATCAATTTTTGTTTTTCTCATATTTTTTCAAAATTTATTTCAAAGTATAAAACCACGTAAAATAACTTCTTGTGGATATCAGAGTGGACTCAATATTCTGCTTAATTTTGATATTGAAGATTATCATGCCAGTATTGTAGAATCTATAGGAATAAAGGTAATTTTGTATAATCTTTGAAAAAGAAATTAATTATTAAAATAATTATAATAAAACATATTTTTATAAATAAAAAAAATGATTAAATTAAAAATAATTCAAGAAATATAATTGAATTAATATTTATAAAAGTATACTTAAATATACTTATAAAATATATAAATATATATTTATATTTTTACAGATTATGTTACACGATCCTTACGATTATCCTGATTATGATGCATCAAGCAAATTAATAGGTGTAAATAAATATTCTTTTTTAACTGTTAAACCTATGGAGATTTATTCAACTAAGGATATTAAATGGGTATCTAATAAACAGTGCACATTATATAATGAAGAAAATACAATACCTAATAATTTGAAAAAGAACTTCATTTCTTCAAGATATTCGTTCATAAATTGTCTGACGGATTGTCGAGCAACTGTAATTAAAAAAGAATGTGGATGCATCCCATATT